CGTACCCGAGTTACTGTTGGCAACGCCCGCCAGTTGTCGTTTTGTGGTTCTCGGGCCGTTGGAGTGTTGAAAGGCCGCGGAGTTTGTGCGCCTGTTGGCCCAGGCCAAAGCTCGTGCTGCGCCAGCCGTACTGCAGCCCGCTCTGAGCAGCGCGTATGTGCACCGCTGGTTTGCTCGCCGCAGCTGCTCCCATAGCCTTCGCAAAAAGCCTGACTTGTACTTTCGGCACCCACGACGCCCCAGATGTGTCCCGCCTGCCCGGTAGGGCCTTGCAAGTGAGGGTGCTGGCCTCCATAAAAGCAGAGCTTGGGTGAGCCTGCAATAGCCCTGGCGCCCCCTTAAACTCGATAGTGCTTCTGCGCAAGGAGGCGCGGCAAAAAACAAACACCTTGCTACTCTTGTTCGACGCAAGCATTGGTATCACCAGCCTTCAACTCTGACGCCTGTGGCGGATGTCGGCGGATTTCGCAAGTTGCACGGGCTGACACATCCAGATCTTGTGTTTCAGAGTTTCGGTGCCCACGCGTGCGCCAGGCCGGCAAAGTGGGATCGGGATCCTTTACGAGGGCTCGGCGCATCGACGTGGAGCTTGAGGAGGGTGAGGCTGGACTGCTGTGCCCTGCGTTTTTCTAATCAAAAGCAGCAAAGCATTTGTCTTCCAGCGCCAAGTCCTTCCCGAGTGGCTAAAGCTGAGTTGCTTGCCATTGAGGACAGGTTGAAAGCGTCAGCGGTCAATTGCTTGTTACGAAGCTGCGTTTCATCGTTTTGGTTTTGTGTTGTCAAGCACACCTGGAGCAATGAGTTTAATTTCAATAAAAAGCGACCCCCCGCCCTCAACCCTTTCAGCCAGGCTGAATTTTTTTTAACGGCACCCCCACCAGGAATTCTAGGGCGTCTTTTCATTCTAACGGCTTTGTACCCTGCAACCGGGCTATCTTTGACCGCGGGCCGCAGAGGTGTCTCGTGCGTGCCCAACTGCCCTTGAACAGCCTAAGGACAGACTTATTCACACGCGGCTTCCCTCCCAAAGCGGCCCAAAATCAAACGCAGCCCAACGGGATGGACCTTAAACCTGTCAGACCCTTTTCGTGCCGGGCGGTGCCCCGCACCTCGTGGTGAACCTCACGGACTCCGTGGCATTCGCGGGGAACTTCTTGGACGAATCCAATCTGGAGGCGCTGCGGCCGTGTTTTCCCGGTCAGCGTGGGTTAAGTTGAATGCCGCCCTGCTTCAAATGTTTTCCTAGTGGGGCAAAGTCTTGTGGCAGAATTACTCCTTCCCAGTTGTTTCTTTAATGTGAAGAAATCCTGAGCATACGATCCAGTTATTGTTGTTCTTATTGCACAGCCAAGCACATGGGTTGTTGGTGTGTGGTGGTTATGTGCCGTATTCACAACGATTTTTTAAAGAAACCGCCTTATCAATTTCCATGCCAGCAGAAACCAACGCCTTGGGCCTTAGGAACCTCACCACCCAAGTGCGTGCTTTTCCTCGAAACTAGTATATTTTCAGTCCAGGTTAAACCTTTTGGGCTACAGTGTGCTGACATTTGAACATGATGTTGGCTGCGGTTTGTGAACTTGATGCCCTCCTGGCAGGCTGCGATGGCAGACATCAAAGCGTTGGCTGCAATGGAGGCGTGGCTCTGGGCAGCCGCGCGCTACGGGTCAATTGCGCATGCCAAGGTGTGTGGGGCGTGGTCGTTTTTTTTTAAACACGCCAGAATGTTGGTGGTTCGCGGCGTTTCTTCACTTCAGACAGACGGTATTCTCTGGTTGGTGTCGCGAAATTGAGGGGGGTGAACATCGCTTGCGACGCAGGCCCTTGCATTTTTGTGGCGCGGTCGGTCATCCTTACACGGCCAGTGTCTCCAAGCGTCGTTTGCATAAGGGACCGCGAACACGCAGACACACACACACACACACACACACACACACACACACACACACACACACACACACACACGCGCACGCACGCACGCACGCACGCACGCACGCACGCACGCACGCACGCACGCACGCACGCACGCACGCACGCACGCACGCACGCACGCACGCACGCACGCACGCACGCACGCACGCACGCACGCACGCACGCACGCACGCACGCACGCACGCACGCACGCACGCACGCACGCACGCACGCACGCACGCACGCACGCACGCACGCACGCACGCACGCACGCACGCACGCACGCACGCACGCACGCACGCACGCACGCACGCACGCACGCTCGCACGCACGCACGCACGCACGCACGCACGCACGCACGCACGCACGCACGCACGCACGCACGCACGCACGCACGCACGCACGCACGCACGCACGCACGCACGCACGCACGCACGCACGCACGCACGCACGCACGCACGCACGCACGCACGCACGCACGCACGCACGCACGCACGCACGCACGCACGCACGCACGCACGCACGCACGCACGCACGCACGCACGCACGCACGCTCGCACGCGCACGCACGCACGCACGCACGCACGCACGCACGCACGCACGCACGCACGCACG